GTTGCTAGGAGATGGAGAGACAGTTTTTCTAAGAGTGTATCCCCTAGTCAGTTGACCATGCTGTAGTAGGAGGCCACATATCCAAGAATATTTGGGCTGCACCATAGGCCTTGATAGATTAAAAAAAAAGATGCAATATTGGGTGGGTAGGAAAGGGTAGGGATGGGTCTGAGAAAAGCTGGATAGTACATATGACAAAACACATTGTACTGAAATGAAATTCTCGAAGAATATATATACCTTATTCTTTGCAGAAGAGGGGAAATAAGCAAGGACTGGAAACTACTTGGAATGTAGCTGAGAATATCCACTGTTAATATCTCAGAAAGAAAAGAATTCTGTCCCCACTGTAACCCAACACATACATGCCTACTAGACAGTGTGGCACCATTTAAGTGTAAGTAAATTCTGCAGATGTCTTTTGTCTAGAATCCTAAACCTCAAAAGAGCTTTACTCTAATGCACAAAGGAATTTTCCTGTAGCCTGTTTCATCCATATAATGGCATAATATTTATAAATTTCCTATGTCCCAATGGTGGATATATGTGCAAATTAGGAACGTGTGTAAGAACTCATGGGGAGCTAATCTATGCTTGGCACTGAGAATTCCCCTTTTCTACTCATGTATTTTGGAAGCATCCTCATACACCTGTGGAGGGCTATAAGAGCCCATCCTTAGCTGAGGAGCTGTTGGTAGTTGATGCCTGGTGTGGAAGGCAGGATCATGGATTCATGTTTCCCAGGGAATTGGCCCTCTGATAGATGACCTATTCCCAAATGTATGGACTGAACTTATTAAACTCTACAGAGAAATATGCAGAGAGTGAGAGACTTGGGAGCACTCCATACTTCGATGTCTTGATCAAAGCCCTCCACTCTATGTGGATCTATGTAGAAGAAGAAAATTTTAAGAGCCAGAAACAGTACCGAACAGACACCTATCCACACATGAGCTCATAGAGACTGTGACAAGAATACACAAGGCCTATAAAGATTTCTCCAAGAATGGAGAAGGAGAAACGGACACAAAATCCCACCCCAACCAAGAAACTACTTGCAACATCTTCTGGGAAAGGAGTGTCATTAGGTATATCCCAGGAGCAGTTGGTCAATGAAGAAAAGATTCCATGTTTTTTATTTGCCTGTTTTCTTATTTATTGTTTTGTTTTGTCTTATTGAGGTTCTTTTTTTTTTTAGTTTCGGGAGTATTTTTTGTTTTCTTTTTCTTTTAGGAAAGAGAAAAAGAATAAGAAATTGGGTGGGGAGTCTCTGGGAGGAGCTGGGGGAGGGGAAAGAATTTCAAACTATGAAAAAAAGATTTTAGTAAAAAAATAAATTTAAAAAAGAGAAAGAAGACATGAAGTTGGGGGAGATGTGCTGGTGGAGCTGGGCAAGTTGCAGTGGGGAGTGTAGCGTAGATGTGATCAAGACACATTGAACATACATATGAAATATTGTTTTTAAAATATAAGGAGAATTTTTTTCAGAAAAGTTGTATTGAAGAGTATAATGAAATTAGGAAACAGACAAAAATAATTTAAATCCTCTCAGCTCCTCATACACAGGCAGATGGAGTGACACCCCACTCGCATTCTGAACATGGACTAGCAATCCTCTTAACAGAGAACAAATGGTTCCCTCCGAAGTGCAATGTACATATCTGACTTTCCCAAAGCACTAGAAATGGCTGCACAAAGCTTTCTCAGAGTCCTGTGCATATGGATTAGACATAAGGATAACAGCACACTATGGGTAAAAACTCTGGTAAGTATATTGAACGCTGAAAACTTATTAATAGTTTGATGTCAAAATTGAGTATCTCTTGCATGCAGCTCATGAGGAACCATCCTAGGACTGACCCTGCTCCATATTTCCTATTGATAGCTCGAGGATGGTGCTACACACGTACTAATCAATCCACAGAATGTGCAGCTCTGGGAGACACGGCTGATGCGTTATAGACGACACTATTAAAATTCAGGATGGTCTTGTGAAATCAAAGAAACAAGTTGAAATCAATGGAGCAAGCAGACACAATCACACTGATGTTTCACACCACAGGACTCCAAAGCTCCTAACTAGAGAGCACAGCATGCTGGCAGGCAAAACCCAAAGGAAGCCCATCCCATTCTTAGCTGTCCTCCTTGTTCCCTCACAGCCACAAGGCTATCTAGACACACTTAGGACTTGCCCTTCATGTTGCTGGAGTTTCTTTGTCCCGCCTGCTCCCACAGCCCCTTCAGCCCCATAAACACAGATGCTATATTAGTTATAAAACTGTTGGCCAATGTCTAGGGCTTCTTATTGGCTAGCTCTATCTTAATTATTATCCCATTTCTATTAATCTAAGTATTTCCACATGGTCTTATCTTACCAGAGGAGGGTCTGGACCTGTTACTTCTTCCTTGGCTACATGGCATCTCTTTGTGCTCTCTCTCTCTCTCTCTCTCTCTCTCTCTCTCTCTCTCTCTCTCTCTTCCTCTCTCTCTCTCTGCCTACCTTTCCTAGAATTCTCCTCTCTCCTAGTCCTGCCTCTCTTCCTGCCTCTATTGAATAAACAGTGTTTTATTCATCAACCTTTAAAAGAAACATATACACAAAAGGGCATACCCCATCATCTCCACACATAATTTAAGTCCGTGACCTGCAGTTTTTCAATTCCCCCCCCCCAGAGCTCTGCAGTGAGGGGAGTGAGATGATGGATTTGGGGTGACACAATTTTTATAGAGCTCACACTGAAAAGTCTAGAGTATGCAACACCACATCAGAAACAAGGAAAGAATAAAACAGAATACTTACAGGATAGGGAGCAAGAGTGATCTTTTTTATAAGAGTGGCATCATGTACTCCCCAAGTTAGTGAGCAATAACCAAGTGTGGCCACTTTTACCTTCCAAACAGCTTTCAATACACCACCACCACCATCATCACCACCACTACCACCACCACCATCACCACCACCACCACCACCACCACATCCAGTCTCGCTTGTTGAGCTCTTCACCGTTTGTCACCTAGACCAGAACCAGAGTCTAAAGGTTCTCTGCTCTCAATTCTTTTGGATCTATCCTTCACACCATTGTCTATGTGGTCCCAGGAAAATACAAGAGATCTTGAATCCTCCTTGTTCACAGCACTTCAGGCCCATCTGCTCCCACAGTTCTCCAACTTGACACATGAATGTTCTCAATGGCTTTTCTGGCAGGAGCTTCACCAGCTTCCTGTTTGGGCCATTTCAAGGTATCTCATTGTCTAGGTCAGTGGTTCACCAGGACCCCTTTGTGGGGAGTTAAATGGTCCTTTCACAGGGGTCACCAAAGACCATTAGAATATCTGATATTTATATTATGATTCACAAAAAAACTTATATGAATAGCAAAATTATAGATATAAAGTAGCAACAAAACTGATTTTGTGCTTAGATGGTCACCACAACATGAAGAACTATATTAAAGAATCATAGCATTAGGAGGGTTGAAAACCACTGGTCTTGATGATATTACTAGCTTTGGGGGGCTGGAGGTGCTACAAAACCTGGACAATAACCTGCCCCACCCAGGTTGCCATGGATACCTGAGTTGAGGAAAGCTCCTCAGGGCCCTGCTTAGTCTTTGATCCCTTGGTTTATTTCTCCCTTGAATCTATGTAAGTCATCTTCCCAGCACCATGCTTTTTCCTTGCTTGTATACCTTATGTCAATGAATTCTGACACCTGGGGTAACTCTCTTCATTTTTGTAACTCATTTTTGTCAGCTTCCACTCAGGTGTGCTCTACCAGGAAGAGCCTGCATACAGCCTGACACACATGCTTCTTTCTCAAAAAGCACTGGAGTTTTCTGATGGTGTGGAGCTGGATTCTCAGCACACAGTTTCCCAGTATTGGTTTATCTCTTGTTATTAGGGTCATTCAGTGTAGAATGTGAACTAGACCTTATGTAGAAACAAATGTTTGGGTGAGGTGAAGGAATCAATGTCAGCATACTATATACCCAACTGGCCAAGTTTACCTACCTCATTTACCATTGCCAAATTATGTAATCAGCCTATGAACCTGTCTGAGGATGAAGAATAAAGAAAATGTGGTAGAAATACTATAGTAGATTGTCTTTCACCATGAAGAACAAAATTGTACTGTTTTCACAACACTGGATTGAATAGGAAATTATAATGTTAAGTAAAATAAGTGAGATTTAGTTAAATGTCAAATGTATATTTTTACATGAAGAATCAAGATAAAAAAATCAAAGCATGAAAATGCAAGGACTATTTGGGAAAAGAAAAATGAACAGGAACACTAGATAGAGGGAGCATGGAATTAATGAGAAGAGGGTTAATATGACAAAAGTATATTGTATCCACATATAAAATTATTAGAATGAAACCCATTTTTCTGTACAAGGTAAGAGACTGGGAGGGTATAGGTGGACAGCTGGGTAAGATAAGGACTTTTCAGATGCTTATGTTATGATAACATACATATATATATAATACAAGCATTGTTTTATATCATAAGGGGCAGTTGGTGGGGATGGGTCAGGGTTTCAGATCATTCTGTACTGTATCTTTCACTCTGTGCCCTGAATCTTTGGTCTCTAAACATTTCTTCAAAAGGTGCCAGTTTAACCAGAGTTTTCTCTCCAGCCTTCCAGTTCCCAAATAACCACTCTGAGGTTTAATTACAAACTGTTTGACCTATTAGCTCAGGCTTATTATTAACTAGCTCTCACAACTTAAATTAACCCATTCCTATTATCCTATATTTTATCACAAGACTCATGGCTTGTTACCTCCCATCTTGCTTCCCCAACGTCTGCTGGAATCGCCTTGACTCTACCTTCTTTCCCCCTGTATTTCTGCTTGGATTTCCCGACTGGCTCTAATCTGCCTGGTTATTGCCCAAATCAGCTTCTTTATTAACCAATGTTAATAAAACATATTCACAGCATACAGAGAGACATCCACATTATGCCAGACAGGCCCCCACATGAATTTCCACTCACCCAAGTTGAGGACTGGTCAGTATGAGGAACACTTTGACAAGCACTTCTGTTTCTTAGGTTTGGGTCCAGTCTGCTCAAGAACGCAGCAGTTTTTCTACCAGGAAAACAAACAGGAGTTAGTGCTCAAAATAACAAACAAAAAAAACTAGAAACAGTACTGTTTACTGTGCCTTTGGATACCAGCCTATATTTTCGTGGGATGATGCCTTAAAATATCCTGGGGAGAACAAAAGGTGAGAGATCAAGGTGCGGTAGAAAATCCAAAGTAAGTGGTTTTGCAAGATAGCATCTTGAACAGCATATGTTTTACAAATATAAAATTAGGTTTGTGAAATGTGAACCTGTTATTTCAGATTTTGCACTTTGTGTTATCGACAGAGATACATCCTCCCTGTGACTTCACAGGATGGTGTTTAATTTCCTCCATGTATACCTTGGGCTTGACATCAGACTTCAGTATAGACCTGGGGAACACTAATCCCCGACAACATCTCACTCCACTTCAGCTTTATATTAAGCCCTTACCCCTCCAGGGGTCTTTCTCTAGTCATCTCATCTCCTACATGGCGCTGCTTACTCATAGTGCACACCAAGCCCAGTGGCCAGCAGTTCTCTCCATCTACGGACTATGAACCCTTGAAGATTCTGAAACAGAAATAAACCTTTCATTCAGATGCAGAATGACATCTCAAAACACACACACACGCGCGCGCGCGCACGCGCGCATACACACACACCTTTACATTTGACTCAAGGGAAGAGATGAACTTCCTTTCTTGGGGGCTCAGAAATGCTGCTTGGACTGAGGAAATGTCTCAGTCAACAAAGTGCTTGCTGTACAAGCATGCTGACGTGAGGTCAGACTCCCAGGAACCATATAAAAAGTTGGGCATGGTGACACATTCCTATAGTCCCAGTGCTGGCAACAGTAGACTCCCTAGGGCTTGTGGACCAGCTAGTCTAGCCAAATCAGTAAGTTCCAGATTCAAAAATAGGTCCTAGATTAAAACATGAGGTAATATCTGGGTGTGATGGTCCATGCCTTTAATCCCAGCAGAAAGTTGAAGGCTAGCTTTATCTACACAGCAAGTTCCAGGCTACCTAGGCCTATATAGTGAGATCCTGTATCATTAAATTAATTGATTGATTAATTAAGGTAAAAAATCAATAGAAGAAAACACCTAAAGTTAACCTCTGACCTCCACATGTATGTATACAGGCATCTACATACACATGTTAACATGCACAATTGCATTCATACAAGTGAGTATAGCACATATCCAAATGTATGTAGTACTGCTGCCTCAGACACACATTTCTGATATTTCTTTTTAGCTTTAAAAAAGTTGGCCTAGACATGTACTAGACATGTAATGGGGCCTTTGTTTTTTTCCTTAATCCAAATGGCCACTCTGTTTCTCTTCTCACCTATGTCAAGCACAGAGCACTGGCGTTACTTCCTAGCCCTTACTTCAAGCACTGTCTTACTCTGCCTACCTTTGACTAACTCATTTTTCCCTTTCCCTTTGTAACTTCTGGAATTTTGACTTCTTACTCCACATTTATAACTAAACACCTGAAACAAGCCTGATTTATATTATTCTAGACTCCTTAGTCTGCTCCAATCCTCCTCCTCCTTTCCACTCTTCTTCTGCTAATACTAAGATTCAAGTCATCAAAAGCTTAGGACGTGAGCATCACCAGAAGCACAGGGGTCTAATAAGAACCAGTGGCACACAGTTTGCAGGGGGAAAAGACAGTTCAAGGAATTAGAAACAAAACAAAGATGCCAATATCATGATGACTGATTTCTTGGGTAGAACATGGTGTTTGGGCAAAGTTAGAAGCTTGAGCTGGGAAAGGAAGTGCTCACGGTGAAGCCGTGACTACATCTTGTCGCCTAGTCCAGGATTTCTTACCTTGCCCAGAACAGACAAAGACCAATAACATCACACTGTCTGGCTTTTTGAAATCAATAATCTAAAAATAGGAGAGAGTCCTACCATATAAGTATAATATATTTAACATTCTTACTGATGGATATTTATGTTACTAGTGAACATCAGAATATATGACATGAAAATAAAACTACCAGTTTTAAATTATCATTGTAATTATGAAGTCACCCTCATTAAAAACTGTAAATGGTGAATGGCTCCCCTGTCAGTGGTTTTTGTGCTGTTGGGAGGTGATAGTTTTACCTTATCTAACCTCCGTTTATCTAACACACCGACACAGTTGTCTGCAGGGTCCAGACAGGTAATGTACGTGAGTAAAGAAAATGGGAGACTATACATAGCAATAAGTGCTATCTGCCAGTTAGGTCAAAGACAGGGAGAACATTGACCATGTTACATGGGTTGACAAACTAGAAAATTATTCCCCATGCAAGGGAGTCAGTTGCTACTTAGCTACAGACCAGCATGCCAATGGATAACAAGCTGGCAATGCCAAATGGGCTAGGTTTATTGTTGTAACCAAAATGCTGCAATTTTTAATGTGAAATAATTTGGCAATTAGTTTTAAAACTTTTCACGTTTACTCTGCTGTCCCCAAGCAAACAATGAAATAAGCAAACCAAACAAAGCCCTCTGCAAGCCAGATGCGGTTCCAAAGGCTCTTCGACATGACTAAATCATTGTTTCTGCCTAGTCATGTTTGTGTTGTTGACAATACATTTATGTCATAACTATAGGCTCTTTATCTTTAGGTAAAAATGTAAACAAAAGGTGCCCATTACTGCTTTATATCTGCCAGCTAAGAGACATCACACCATATCTCATATTTATGCCAAATACTAAGGTGTATCATTTTTATTTCCACTTACAGTTCTACGTATTTGTGTTAATACATGAAAAACAAACACTACATATAAAGTGGAAAACCACAGAAAATATTTATAAGCAAAGGAACATAACAAAAGGGTTATTGTGCAAAATGCATGAAGAACACTGATAAAACAAATTGCAAAAAGACAAAGAGCCCAACCTACAAGTGGGAAAGAGATAAAAAAAAATGCGTACTTCACTGAAAGAGAAACAAAATTAATAACACAAATGGCAACAATGGCTTAGAGTTTATATAATATCACATGTGTCAAGCCCTGTTGGGAGATCTCTACATCTCTAACATCATGACAACCTTGCAAAGATTTCAACATCTTCAATTCACAGAAGCAATTAGCTCTAGGCTACAAAATTAGCAAATATCAGAACCAGGAGGGCTCAGACCCAGACATCCCAACCATAGAGGCCACACTTTCAGCGAGGAGACTCCACTGTTCCTACAGAGGAATACTCATGTACATCTCAGTAACAACTGAAAATGGGAACATTATAACAAGACAACATCACATATGAGCCCAAAAATACTTTTGAAGTATGGAAACTTTCCCAATACTAAGGAGAATATTTGGCAAAAATTTCTTGTATAAATTGCTAACGTGAAAGCAAATTGGTCACCTAGGAGAAAGAAATTTGACAACACTTGGTGAAGCCAAATACATGTGCAATGTCTAGACTCTTGACACCTAAGGAGAATTGTAAAACCACACAGACCAAGTGCCAGTAAGTATCCCAGACAAAGAAGGAAGAAAAAGAAAAGGAGAAAAACATGAGGGAAAGGCAGAGACTGGAGAGAAGAAGGAAATGAATTAATTTACAACATGAATCCATATGAGTGCGTGTCATATCTGAGAACTGATCTGATACTATAACCTGACAGTTATTGTGGAGTGATCCAGTCCTACAAAGACTTGTTCTATGTTGTACAGCTGCATCTGATTCTTGCAAATAATCATGTAACCCACAAATTACCCACATCTACCCTCAACTCACTGAGAGACTCCTACTCCTTTACCAGTCACAGTTCCTACCTCGTGTTGATATGCCACCCTACACTGATAGTTCATTCTTGCAAAGTAGTAGTCATGTAACCCACAAATTACCCACATCAACCCCCAACTCAGTGAAAGACTCCTAATTTTTTATTAGTCACAGCTCCTTCCTCATGTTGGCATGTCACCCCTACACTGACAGTTTATCAAGAAATACAATCATAAAATGCCCCGGCATCTTGATGCCACCTTCCATCTATTTAGACTCTTCTCCAAATTACCCAACTAAACTGCAAATCCTATACTTGACTCTTTCAAATGGTCCTTCCCTTGATACTTCACTATTCTCTATAGTATTTGTTCTGCTTTGCTTCAACATTAAACACAATTTGTTCACCCATAGGTTTGTCTCTATTAGTTAGAGGGGAAGGATAATAACAAATGTGACACATCAGGACAGGATTACTACAAGGGAAGATAGAGAATGATAGCATTGCAACAGTCTCTATAATGTTTCATTTCCAAGCCAAACTCCTGGAATCCAGCTGTAGAGAGTGAGAATGATGAGCAAAGGGGTTAAGACCATGCTGAGGAAACCCCACAGAAACATCTTACCTCAGCAAATGGGAGCTCACAGACCCTAGCCAGACAGCTGGGGAACTAGCATAGGACCCAACCAGGCCCCCTGAACTTGGGTAAGTTAGGAGGCCTGGGCAGTCTATGGGGCCCTCTGGCAGTGGAACCAGTATTTTTTTGGGAGTCCATTCCCCCAGGGAGGGATACTCACTCAGCCTAGATATATTCGGGGAGGGCCCAGGCCCTGCCCCAAATGATGTGACAGACTTTGATGATCCCACATGGAAGGCCTCACTCTCCCTGGGGAGTAGATAAGGGGTGGGATGGGAGTCAGTGGGGAGAAAGGGAGAATGGGAGGGAGAGGGAACTTGGATTGATATAAAAAATAAGACTGTTTCAAATTTAAATAAAAATACTTTAAACCAAAAAATTAACACAGCATAAATAGTTTATCAAATAGAGAAAAGGCATAAGTGCTTTAATTGCACTGAGAAGAGGAAGTCCAAGCGAATTCCATCACAGCTTCCTAGGATAATGGGTTTCCAAATGCCCATAGGAAGACCCTACCTACATGGGATGGTAAGCCTGAGGCTCATCAACGCAGGGTCTTATAGACTACTACGCTCAGGCTTTAGATGGTCCAGCGTGTCTGGAATAGAATCCAGAAATGTGCTTCTTAAAAA